CTCTCTCTCTCTCCTCTCTCTGCGAGCAGGATCGTTCCCAGCACGGGAGGAGGCAGAACAGCGTGTAGAAACATGCGGCTCCTATCTCTCTCTCTCGCTCTGTCAAACACACATACTGTGACATACACACACACACACACACATGCACACACACACACACACACACACACACACACACACACACACACACACACACATTATTTTTTCCTTCCATGTACGATCTTGTGTTAATTTCTTTGCGTGTGAGAACGAGGACAACATACAAATGGAGAAATGGTGTTCTCATGAAGTGCCGACGCCAAACAACCGGGCGTTCTATTCGGATGAAAGTAACATCTCAGCTACTATCCCAATGGCTATTGCGCATGAGTAGAACCTGATAGGTGTGTGTGTGTGTGTTGTCATGCTCATTATAGACAACTCCACAACATAAACATGGTTGTGTCAGACCATTTGTCAGACTTTGTGTGTGCGGTTTCTTACTGCCTCCTTCCTTCTTTTCCCCACCCCTTGCTTTTGGTATTTCTTTCCCCCTCTTCTGTTGCATGTATCATTCAGCCACCTTGCAGGTACAGCATTCTCGTTTTTCTTTTTTTCTTTTCAGAACAACTCTACTATATCATGGGCCCACTAGCCCACGCTGTACAGAACAGGGACAACAATGAAGGTTTAAGTACCACCCGTATGCATTTTATTTTTTTGCAGCATTGGGGTAGGCAAAGGTAGTAGTGGTGTAGCTGGCAAGTGGCACAAATGAGTTGAAATTTTGAGATGCTAGGGTTTTCGGGGTTGTCTGGGGGGTCGCACAATTGCTTAATGGGGGTTATCAAACGACTGGAGGGGGGGGGCGGAGATCATGATTACGCTGACAAGTGTCAGTCGTAGGTGATCTAGGAGGGAAGTTGCACGCCCCCACCACCCCTTCCCCCGTGTTCGCTTTTGAACTGTCGAAAAAGAGACATGAGGTACAACAGTCCCATGCAGAGATCAGTGCTATGCTATGCAAGGCAGATCTGTATACTCACTCAAATCTGTGTGCGTGACTATGCCCTCAGTTGATGTACCAGTTGAAATGTAGGCCTGAGTTCAAATCCATGTTCGGTTGTGTGGTGAGATATGTTTCAGGAAAGCCTAGCATGATTTTGCCAATTTTTGCAGATAATTACAGTCAGATTCATCGAACCTTGCCATAACTGAAGTCAGATTCATTCAGGGAAATCATAGTACATTGTCATGTTTGCTATACATAACTTCATAAAAAGACAGGATGACTGTGCCAGACTGTTTCGTCATACTTTCACTGAATTGTAGTGTGTGAATATGCCCCTTGTGGATACACTGCCGGACTGTTGAAATACAGACCTGACTATAATTACAGACCAGAGTTCCGGTCCCTGTCAGCATTGCTGAGCATTGCTGAAGCTGACGTCATACTCACTTGATGACCTCTTCTGCGCACAGATACATTATGCAAAATCCTAATGGCAGGACATCCTCAATCCACATACCCACGAATTGTTGAAATAAGTATTCAGTTGTGGTCATTGATGAGCATCAAGAAAAAATAAAATCGATAGGGTTCCCTCATCCCCCCCCCCCCGTCCCCCCTGCCAAACCTACTACAATACACTACTCAAGTCCACTTTTCCTCAGATCTCTACCCCTGCTCCTACCTGCTGACTTTTCCTCAGATCTCTAAAATACAGCAGCTCGGAGTCTCGGACTGATGCAAATCGGTCACCAATTTGTTGTGAATTGACGTTCTGAAGCAGTGACCCAAAACGCAGTTGTTCCGGGTGATCACCTTGTGTCGCCAGTGCCGTATATGTGCCCCATCGAGCCCAGAAAGATGATGCTCCACCTTTCCTGCACCGATGCAGGTCTCCAGCAATGGCGTTCCTGATGTTCTCCATGGCGCAGTCCCGAAGTGTGCTGAATGCCACGTCTGCGCCCTGTCTGACCCTATCGTTTTGCGCCGTCCATATCGTCCAAAGGACCTCTGCTCTCAAAATCTTCCCGGCCGGCAATTGACTCTGCGGCAACTTCCGGCCCAACATGATTGGTCCCAGCAGGATTGCCGCAGTGTCATCCTCTGTAACCTGCAGAGGTGTGTTCTCTGTCATTACCGTCGCCCATCAGTCCCAAAAAGTATACACAACCGGGCAGCGCACGAACAGGTGCAGGAGCGACTCTGTGGCAGCGCAAACTGTACAGCTGGCATCTTTGTACTGTCTTTTGGAGGCTTGCCATTCCGCAGTTGGGATCGCAAGGTGGGCAATTTGCCAAAGCATTGCTGCGTGCTTCTGGTCTGGAATGGTCATCTAGAGCGCGAATCGCTCTTTCCACTTATGCCTTCAAGTTGACCACCGTTCAAGTTACACAAATGGTATCCACTGACCAGTCCCTCTTACCCCACCGTCCTCGCAGTTCCTCCCATATATCCACCTGTGGCAAAAGAGATCTGTACATCAACTTTGTGGTCATTCTATGCATATTGACCTGCTTCTTCAGGTGGTTCTGTCTTGGCCATATCCACATCTGTGGGTCCCATACTAGATCTCGCCTTCTTTTTTTTCCTTTTT